ATTAAGTGTTTAAATTCAAGCTAGTTAACATACCACGTACTATTGGTTTCAGGAGTGGAACCCAGTGATTCATCTCTTACACACGACAGACACCCAGCGCTCGTTCCAACAAGTGTCCTCCTTAATGCCCATCCCCCATCTAGCCCATCCCCTTCCGCAACCCCCAGTTTGTTTTCTGTATTTAAGAGGCTCTTATGGTTTGTCTCCCTCTCTGTTTTTGCCTTCTATTCTATTGCATCAAAGAATTTGCTTTCACGTTAAAAAAAAAATGTGAGGGGTGCCTGGGTGGCTCAGTCAGTTGGGCGTCCGACTTCAGCCAGGTCACGATCTCGCGGTCCGGGAGTTCGAGCCCCGCGTCAGGCTCTGGGCTGATGGCTCAGAGCCTGGAGCCTGCTTCGGATTCTGTGTCTCCCTCTCTCTCTACCGCTCCCCCACTCATGCTCTGTCTCTCTCTCAAAAAGAAATAAACATTAAAAAAAAATTTTTTTTAACGTGTTAAATGACTGGCCACTCAAGGACTTCCTCTCATTCGCCACATCACTGAGTCAACGGAGTCTTTGGGAAGTCCCCTTTGTCCTCTGGCCCCATCTAGCCCCAGCCCCGGAGGGGTGGGGATGCCCAGGCCGGCCCAGTGTGATGCACACAGGTTTGTTCCCCACACGCAGCACCGGCTCAGAGGACAGGACCCAGGGTGGGCCTTCGAAGGTGGAGGGTCTGTGAGGTCAGTAAAGGCTCAAGGTGAGACCTTCCCTTGTTGCCCCAAACTCTGTCCGGAGGGGTGACCTCCGTGTCTGAAGAAAACACGCGTGCCGGTCTGGAGAGATGAGGCCTCCCTCCGCGCGCAGCCCGCCCTTCACCCACAGGTCCCCGATGACGGTCCAGCTGCCATTTCGGTCTGTGCACAGTCACCGGCCTCGCCACTGGTCCCCTAATAACAGGCGAGGAGCCCCAGCTCAGAGAATGGGCCCCCTGTCACTCAGTAGGGATGGGAACTGCTATTCAAGTCTGTCTCCCGTCCAGCTGGGTCCGTGGCACGTTTCCCTGTGCCGCCCGCCCCCAAATTCCGGCACATCCCCTAAGATGGCACTGAATCCATTTCTACCCGCCCCCCCCCCCCTCCATCGGGGCCGAGAAGAGGGGCAGTGCTTTTTGGGGGTGTCTTCCTCAAGCACGAAGCCGTTTTGGAGCAATTTTCTCCACGTCTGCACAAGCCGGCCTGGCTAGCGCACTTTTCCCTGGGCTGATTTTCTCTAATTCTGGTGATGATGAGCTGCCTAATAAAATTACGCTAAGTTATGTGCATAGAGCATCGTACACGCTAATTATTGGCCACGCCTCTGAAGAATTCCCGAGCAGCTCACCTCTTTCTTTGGGTCTCATTAGTCGTTTGGGCCAATTTGAGCCCCCAGCCACCCCCCCCCCCCTTCCCAGCTCTACTTGAATCAGCAGGGCTCTGGATGTCATTAGCTACTCCAATTGCCTTTTAAAAAATCTGTTTCACATAAAAGGACAAATGAGAATGAATATTTGCCCATCTTTAAGACACTAACTACATTCTTTTCCACAGACTGTTCTCGTTACTCTTTCTTTCTTTGGGAGGAATTTGAACACGGCCTGGGCCCCTGCACGCAGTTCATGACTGCAAAAGGCTTCCTCCTCGAAACCGGACCCAAGCGGGCATATTCTGGAAACGCGGCAGCTTCGAAGAACATGACTCAGTTCAGTTTTTCTCTACCTATCTTCCCCCCCCCCCCCCAGACTCACCTGCTTTCCGGGACTGGCGGATGACCAGCCACCAGCTGCGCAGGCAGAACAGAAGGCCTTGGTAGTATTTGCTGGAAAAGCAAGAACCTCATCCAAGGACCAGCGTCTTCTCCCCTTTATTTAATAGCGCTGTTTATGCCAATAAAATCACAACAAATACCAGGGATGAGAGTGGGTTGATTCCAGTGGGAGGGGTGGGTCTCACCGGAGCCCTCGTAGCCCCCAGAGGTGGAAACGAGAACAGGCAGGGACGGGTCAGTGAGGCACACGTAGTAGAAGGCAGTGAAACAGGGCCTCTCAGACACAGTTCAAGTGCAGCAGGCAAACTTCAATAATGCCTGCTCAGTTCTTAGACAGGACTCCTTAGCCCGAACGCCACGGTCTGCAGGCCCTGTGTCCCTGCCCTCACCTCCTCCATGCTCCCCTTGGCCTTAGCACACCAGCCACGTGCCCCTCTTTCTGCTCCTCCAACATGCCCAGCCTCTCCTACCCCAGGGCCTTTGCACTCTCCACTGCATCAATGCCGCTGTCCCGGAGCTTACCGTGACCCCCACCTCTTCATCCTTCATCTTTCTGCTTCAGTGGGCCCATCCCCGAAGGGTGCTTCCCTGACCCCCATCACTTTCTCCACTCTTACTCCTACTTGATCAATACCTTCTGCCCACCCCGCACCCCCCTTTGTCTTAGGAGGGTATTAGAGCCTGTATCTGTCTTTCGTCTCTCTCACACACACATGGATGTAACCACTAGGAAGGTGGGGACCGTCCACTTGTTCTCCACGATCCTCCAGCCCAAAGAGCAGTACCGAACACACAGTAGGTGCTCAGTAAATATTTGGTGAACGAATGAACGGAAGTCAGCGTATTCCGTCTAACCCCGGCCCCCCTTTCTCTTTCTGGCGATTGCACTCTTTCTTGAAGAAAATTTAAAAATATTCCTGGGCTTAGGTGGACCCAAGAAAAGAAAATGTGCTCTTAAATCTCTTGAAAATGGGACAGCAGAGGTTCAGGACGCAAAGCTCTTAGTGTGAGCAAACAGAACCTGCAGGCTGAGGTCTAAGAACCGGGACCTGCTAGGTCATCAAGCACAGACCGTGGAGCTAGTGACTTCACGATGTGATTCAACTACCCCAAATCTTAGAGGGAACCCATTTCAAAGTCCAAACCTCAACATGGAAGGCTGAGGGGTGGCTTGGCTTTGACATTCCTGCGAGAAGCAGGCCCTCTGAAAAGACGCTGCGTTACAGATAAGTCACCCACCAAAGGGGGAGAAGGGAGAGGGATAAACCCCAGCATCGGGTGTGTTTGTCTGCTAAGTCTTTGGATGGAAACTGATCCGGGGATGCGTGATCCTCCAAAAATCCGCCGGCCCCCAAAGTGCTGAAGTTACCCTCTGACCACAGCCACATGGAGAATGAAATCAAATCCCACGGAAAGATTTGACTTTTTTTAACATTATGCAATGTTTGGGTGAAGAAAAGGGGGGAGGTACCAGGGGGGAGAAATAAAACTCCTCTTTTTCCCAGAGTTTAGCAAAGCTATTTCTAGCTTTTAATGATACATTTCACCATCTAGCTTTTAATGATACATTTCATGGGTAGCTTTGAGAGGCACGAAGGCGGGACTGTTCTATTATGTAACCCATTTCAAGTAGGAAATTAGCAAGTCCTGAATGAATTCTGTTACTGTGCTCGACTTCTGGAAAGTTTGGAGCGACTACAGTTCTATTTTGAGGTGAGCAAATCCATTATTTATAGATCTCCTCACAAATACCGCAGGGTTTCATGTCACCCTGAAAAGTTTCATAACTTTTTCATAACTTGAACTGAACAAAAACAGTTCAAGTACTTGGGGGCGTTGGTACATTTCGTCTCAAAACCTTATTAGCCTGAATAGGGAGTAGGGCAAGCCTTCCCAGTGGCCAAATATTCAAAAATACAAATATCCAAGATCAAATAAATATTCATCTCTCACATTCCCTCCCCCACCCAACCCCAGTGTGTGTGTGTGTGTGTGTGTGTGTGTGTGTGTGTGTGTGTGTGTTTTAAGCTAAGTCCAGCAAAATAGTCTGGTCAACAACATAAAAAGAAATGTCTGTTTTTAACGGAGCCGTTGGCCATGAAATAAATTCTGAAACTATGAAAGCAGCGTCTTGAACAGAGCAGCTGGGTTCACTGGACCTTCCTCGTTGTTGAAAACAGGAAACATAAAGGTCTTTCAGTCTCAAGCTCCCCCTAGCGGCGGGAATGGAGCGGTGCCTACACCCGGATGGAATTTCACAGCAGGCAAATGCGGAGGGAAGACCACTTTGATGGCCACAGGGTTAAGGAAAAGTACCTTCTTGAGCCCAGGTCACCAGAGCCGAGAGCATGCGTCTCCGATTTGCCGGGAGGAGCCGCAACTGATGGAGACATAGCGCATTGCCAACGCTCCTTCTGATCGATACCCTGGGGGTGACCCTCTCAACGGGAGCCAATATGTGGAAACCAGCAGCCCACACCACAAATAGCTCCTAATTAAAACATGTGGCTCGTTGGTACATAGCTGGTTTCCCGAGACACGGGCGTTCACACCGCAGTGATAAAGCGGACGTGTGCAGGTCGTATCGGGGGTTCTCAACCGCGGTACCTTCGACATTTGGGGTCGAATGACTCCACGTGGTGGGGGGCTGTCCTGCGGCATCGCTGGCCTCTCATCAGGCCCCTGAGCACCCCACCCCAACTGTGACAACCAAAATTGCCTCTGACACTGCCCCAAGTCCCGTGGTGGACAAAAGCCCTCCAGCTGAGAATCACTGGGTGAGATTAATAAAATATGTCCTCTGCTTCCTACACAACAGCTTAGAAACCTCTCCTCCCTGAAACTTAGGTGACTGCATTCCTGAATCTTATATTCGATTTTTTTTAAAAGGTGTCCAAACAAATCAAGGACTACATGTGTATCAATCAAATCTGAATCCTATAGAATACTTTTCTCCTTTTTCCTATTTATATCGGTCACCTTTTGAAATTGACATGTCTGGAATAGACAACGGTACAGAATAATAAGTAATGCACGGGTTTGGGATGGGATTTTTTTTTTTTTTTTTTTTTTTGCCAAAATCCAAATAACTGGAGAAACAGTTCTTCCCTTTTTGTACCATGAGATACACACAAAATAGGAGCGTTATCATAAAAAGCCTTCATTTTGACACCAGAATTCCTGTTTCCGCACAAATTAAAATGATCCCCAAAGGCATAAAGTACACAAGCTTTATTGGGCAGCAGCAATGAGCCACGCTGGCACACAATGAAAGGACAATCGGTCAGAAACACGCAGGATCACATGTGTATCATCACGGGATCGAGGATTTAAATCATCTGGGAGTTCCTGCTAAATTAAAGCATCCTGTGCCAGAGCTTCCCGCTAATGAAAGAACGCTGTCCTGGTGGGTATGTGCAATGTGCATTACACGGACGAATCTACTAATGAGGAGGCCGCCGACTCCTAGATGAGTTTACGGCTAGCCCCCCTGCAACAAAATCCTAGAGTGGCCACCATTTTTGTTTGCTAATACCGCATCCCCCCAGCAGTACCCCCCCCCCACAAACGCAGTATCCACTGACGTTGCCCAGTGACGTTAACAGCCGGCACCCCCAAGCACGCGGTGACGGAGACGCCGGATCCGCAGGAACAGCGCCATGGCGTGAGCAGACGCCGCGGAGCGCGAGGTCTCGGGGACGCTGCCCGCATGGTGGCAATGCCTCTCGGTTCCCTTCCGAAACACAAGACGTATTTTCCCAAGATGAAATGAACATCATTAATGGAAATATTTTCCAATAAGTGTACGTGGCAAAAGGTTTTACATGAAAGGAAGGGGGGAGAAGTAAAATCTGTTATATTTACAAGCTCCTTTTATGTTTTTTGGTGACAACAAAGCTGGAAGTAACGGGATTTTGATGCAAATCAAGTATCTCATCAAAAACTCAGGTCACACACACACACACACACACACACACACACACACTTAAACACACACACAAAAGGTTAAAGATAAAAACAGCTGAGAGGTGTTTGTCTCCAACAGGACGGCGCGGAAGCGTGTGTAGGTCCCAGTGGCGATCTTGGCAAAGGTTTAAAATGCTGCCCTGCAAAGGCATGAGGGCTTTCCCATCCCCACCCCAGTAAAAACAAAACAAAGTATAAAAGCAAAACTCTGGAAAAGGAGAAGAGGCATTATTGTGTCCATTCCCAATGAGCACAGAACTCAAAATACATTCAGAAGTTGTCAGTGTGACCTAAGCTTTCAGCAGAGAGCACACAGAGGGGAGCAGACACGGGTACCGCAGCCGACTGCACACAAAAGTACTTAGGAAGGGAAGCTGGCCTGGGGCCCGGATGGGACGACACCAACAGCGGGAGACATCCCAGCTCGCGGTCTCCGGGCTCCAGGTGGCTGCGGAGGGGGTTTGCTCCGATGTCTAGATGCCCCCGAGGACGCCCCTCCTTCGCTCTGTGGCAAAGTCCGCTGCCCCAAGCAGCCAGAGATGGTGCAACCAGAACCCCCTAGCACCACGGGCAACACACACGTGAGCATGTGCGCCCTCCAAATGAGGATCCAAACTGTCAGGCTTCAGAAATTACCGAAATGGAGACGCTTGTCTGGTCATTTTCTTAGAGGAAGGAAGGGGCGGGGGGAGGAGAAACCGAATGGATCCCGTCATCCTCATGCACGTACAACCATCACCAAAAGACAGAACAAAACTAATCATAAGATAACAAAAGTGCTAACCAGGACAGAAATACCTAGTGGTGTCAGAGGGCGGGGGTGGGGGGTTAATTTTTACTTTGAGGAGAAAGGTTTGAATAGCACTGATTGTGTGCCGTGGGGCCTCTGGCCTCAAATCAAATAGGCTGCCAGAGACTTAGGTCCCACTGAGGTCCAAGGTGAGGGGCAGGGGTCAGTGGTGCTTCCTAAATTCCTTCCAGATTGGTAAACCGAGAGAAAGGTCAACGGGATCGGTCTGCTCAAGCTCTACGAACTCAGGAGGTTCCTGTTTTATCTTCCCCCGCAACTGAGATAATCCGCGTGCACACGGGTCCTCTGCTGGGACTGCTCTGACGGGTGCAGGTGAGGATCCTGTACCCTCAACCGACTTGAGGCTCCTGCCCTTTGGGGCTGCAGAGTTTGAGAAGCACATGCATCCCCAGACACCCGACGACCCCCGGCAGGTGGAGGGAGCAGGCTGCCCACTGATGGGGCGGCTCCACGGCGTGGGGGTCGGGGCCCCGCTTGGGGTTTAGGTCCCTCTGGCCCCCGACTGCCTCCGCCGGAGTGCAGCTGGGACGAGAGAACAAGGTTTGCAATGGCACAGACCAGCACCCCTCCACCTCCAGGCGTGGCTTCTTCGGCAGCTCTCTTCCTGGGAGAGGTCAGGTGGCATCTCGGGCGTTGACTTCAAAAGTCAGCTCACACACCTGGGTCGAACTTGGGACTTGAGGGGGGAAAAAACAAAGCAAGAGACCATCTCCCTGTATCTGCTGGGAAAGTCCAGAATTTCCTCACAGCACTTCTGGCAAGACCTACCTGCAGAAGCCATCGCCTGTCTGTGAACAAGGCCAGGTTCAGGGTTTGCAACCTCAGATCAGAACAACTTAAGACTTACAATCGGACTTCCAAGAAGACAGATCAAAGTATGAACTCCTGAGCCCAAGGCTCCCTCCTCGACCTTTGAAACGACGTAACGTCACTCAGAGAGAAGTCAGACCCACTCAATCTTTCCGGCTGAAAGGTCCTATTCCTAAATAACCATTCACTCACGGCGACCTATATTCCCTGCAGGTCCTTCCGGTGTGGCAGAGATGGCTGGAACAGAATGGCCGAAATACTGCAAAACTGCAGAATCTTAAAACGGAAGCAATGCCAAGAGCCAGTTTACCCAGTGCCTGAAACTTAGTATCATTTTATAAGGGTTTAAAAGGGCAACATAAGTACATGAGCATATGGAGAGTGCTCCCAAGGCCAGGAACCGACGTGCCCGCTCCTCCCGCCCCCAACCCCCCAGCCGCAGGCTGAGCGTAGGGCCGTGGGCGCGGCAGCCAGGCTGGAGCTCACGTCTCTGAAGCACGCACAAGAAGCGTCATGCCGAAGGGCTGAAGGAATTAACCACGGATCCGAGATCACAAACAGTCACTGAAGATCCGCCGACCTAACGCTTATGGCACGCATATGTGGCACCGAGTGACTCGAAAACCCAAGAATGCCTTGCCCCGCCACGCCCAGCGCTTGAAAACTCCCTTCCCTCCTCGGAAAAGAGAAGCCACAGCTTTATAAGAAACACACGTGCGGGTACGCCATCCCGGTGGGGGAGGGGTCTCTACCGCTGGCGGCCTTCCAGCAAGCTCCCCCTGGAGATCTCGAGAGGCAGTGGAACGGAGCCGGCAGCCTGGGCCTCCTCCTCCCAGGGACTCTCTGCTCGAAGCTGCCGCCGACGAAGGGCATGGTTATGATGCCTCTGCCTTGGCCATTTCATCCTCTTAATGGGAAACAGATTTCTGTGGAAGCCGAGAGCCCCCAGCCCTGACCTTGCACTCTGGACTCAGGAGGCCTGAGCCGCATATGCTACATTGTCTAAAGAATTAGCCGAGTCTCTTATCACCCTGTCGACACATTTAGGAGCCGTTCGGTGGCACCTTTCCTGCTAAAACAACTGCTGAAAATGTCTGAGGGGTGTCCTCAGATGGCCACAGGCTTTGTAATTGTTACCAGGTCCGAACACAGCAGGGTAACACCTTTGAAATTCTTTTACGAGGAGGCAGGTGGCGCTAACTCGGGCGCTGTCGAAGCTGAATCTGACGCAGGGGAACAAAGGGGATTTACGGCTCGCTCGCTCTGCCCTGGTCCGCTCTGTGTCGCTCTGGGAAGGCAGCGTGGCTTCGGCAAACAGAGCGGCCTCGGGCGGGGTGGGTAGCACTTCGGCCGTGCGATTACCGTCTGGGTCACTTCTGACCAGAGTCATGGCCTTTCCTGCAAACCTGTAGACCGCGAGCTTGACGCTTCTCCGCAGCCAGTTTTTTCAGAGCAAGAAAGACGCGGGGAATACACACACATTAGGACTGTTTAAAACAAAAACACAAACAAACCCTTCTACAATCCGCAGCTGGACAGAAACTTCTATCACACGACACCAGAATCCCAGTCCTCGGAAGCTCGCACGGTGACCCACGTATAAATGTGTTAGCCGAGCCACCAGCTTTCACGTATATACATTCACTTGAGGCCGAGTCATCCGGGGCTCGAGCAGGCCCCACGGGCACGTCCCAGGAGCCTGCCCCGTTGAACCAGCCTCGGGACTCTGCACATTCAGCCGCTTCGCGTCCAAACGGCACGTGGTAGCCATTGCCGCGAGATCCACAGGTGGCATTTAAAAAAGACGCAACTTGAACTCTGTCCACCGGGAGGGCGCAGAGGCCGCGGTGCCCTCGGCCCGCGCACGCCTACGAGGTGAGCTTCGAGTAGCTGGGCGGGGAGAACCGTCTCCGCAGATACTTGAGAACGTACAGGGGGAGACAGCTGACCAGAGTGATAACGGACACCTTCCACAAGAATGACAAAGTGGCGATGAAGTACACATCTGCAATGCAAGCAAAAGGGAAGACGGCGGTGAGCGGACGGAATGTTCCAGAAGGCCTGTGCAGCTCAGGAACTGCCAGCATAGCTATTGGGGGGGGGGGGGGCCCCGCCTCTCCTCACTGACACATGGCCTCCTGGCACCGGCCCCTTTCCTGGGCTCTGTCTCCAGGGCTGGGATTCTCCCCACTCCCTCCTCTCTCTGACCTGTGCCATCACTGACAGTACTGAAATGCTACTTCCAACACCAGGAAAAGAAAACTACAGGCAGAAACAATTCTTACAGGTGTTTCTGATCTGGAATCTGACAGCTGGCGCTTTTCTTTGCAAACCCCGCCTCCCGAGAGCAGAAAGGCACTCTGACACCAGACGTGTTTTCCCCTCGCCTCCGGGATGGTCACCAAAGCCCAGGACGGGTCGGGCCTGAGGGCGGTGCAGAGCGGGAACCAGGTGGCCTAGGGGGCTTCCACTGAGGGACGGACGCCCCCTTCTGCTGCAGGACAGTGAGCCCGCGGTCTGGAGGGTTTTGAGAGAGCAGAGCACAGCCCGCAGCCTTCCTCAGTAGTGGAGTGGACACCACTTCTGGGGCACAGATGGGGAGCGTGTGGCTGGCACGGGCCATGGTCCCACCTGTGCGTCTGCCCAGCCAGCCCGTGACAGCTTCCTGAGGGCAGAGCTCGCCACCCCCAAGCCACTGAGCACACAGTAGGTGTTCACAAAAACGCATTCTGAGAGACTCTCAGGACAAGTGTGAAACTAAGACTTCAGTAACCGGATGTTCCTTTCACCTTGACCAAAACCTTATGGAGCGTTTGCTGATGAACACGAGACCTGATCAGAGGCGCCTTCAGGGGAAGGTGGAGTTTCTTAACCTACCGATAAGGACAAATCCTGCGGGACTTACCATTTATTCATGAACAAAACCTGGATGTCCGACATCGCATTCGCCCCCCAGAGCCCGGCACTGTGCCCAGCTCCCTCGAGAAACCTACCAGGTCTCTGTCGAATTCAACGGAACCCCCTTCTAAGTCACTTAGTGCAGTGTGTTTTTAAAAGGAAACACTCCACTGACATTGTGCCCACCAGCCTCTGTTCCGGGAAGCTGATCCACAGGTGCTATCTGCCCCAAAATGGGGGCAGCAGAGTGCCAAGGCCAGCTGGACCAAGACCCCAGGATGAGCGCTGGGGAGGGGGCCCCTGGACCTCACTGCCCGGCTTCAGCCACAGAGCGGGTCTTACCGATGAACTCGTGGAGGAACACCAGGGAGGCGATGTAGCAGGCCAGACTGAGCAGCTCGGCCACGGTCATGAGCCAGTGCCACGTCTGGATGGTCAGGGCCACCATGAGCAGCTCCGTGAGGATCAGCGACGTGAAGGAAATGGCCACGATGTGCACAAACTCGGACTCGAACAGCAGCAGGGCCCCGTACATGATGGTGCTCCCTGTGAAAGCAGACGGAGCCGGTGTCCCCGCACAGCCCTGCCTGCCCGCAGCTGCCGCCCCTCCCGCTGCCCTCCAGAGCCCCCTCGGCCTGGGCTCCTTTTCCTTTATTTTCCATTCAGACATGAAAGATGGCACTTGCTAAATGAGGTTGATGAGTGGTGCTTTATGGAGGCTTTAAAGAGGTGTCTCGTTCTGATTTCCTACTTTCTCTTTGGACCTTACGTCATAAGGAGTCTATAACTGCAGGGGAGAAGAAAGAGAGAGAGACAGAGGGAGAGACAGAGGGAAGGAGGGAAGGGGAGAAATGGAAAGGGGAAAAAAACAAAAGGGAGGCAGGACAGAGTATCTGGAGTGGGTGAGACAAGAAACAAATTTAAATTTAAACACACTCTTTAAAATAACAGAGGTAAGCAGTCACAAAAAGACATATTCCGCTTCCAGGAGGTACCTAAATTAGTCCCTTTCATGGAGACAGAAAGGATAATGCTGGTTCCCAGGGGTTGTGGTGGGGAAGGGGGAATGGGGACAGAGTTTCTGTTTTGCAAGATGAAAAAGTTCTGGAGATCTTTCCTTACAACAGTATAATACTAGAGATGTGCAATGTAATTCACAAGCGTGCACATACTGAGCACTCGCGAAGTGTACCCTTAAAAAGACGGTATCTGCAGATGAATGGATGAAGAGGATGTGGTATATGGATACAGGGGAGTATTACTCGGCCATCAAAAAGGAGGCGATCTTGCCATTTGCAACAACGTGGATGGAACCGGAGGGTATCGTGCTAAGCGAAATACAGAAAGACGAAAACCGTATGATTTCACTCATATGTGGAATTTAAGATACAAAACAGATGAACATAAGGGAAGGGAAGCAAAAATAAGATAAAAACAGGGAGGGGGACAAACCATAAGAGATTCTTAAATACAGAGAACAAACCGAGGGTCGCTGGAGGGATTGTGGGTGGGGGATGGGCTAAATGGGTGAGGGGCACTAAGAAAGACACTTGGGATGAGCACCAGGTGTTATACATAGAGGATGAACCACTGGAATCCACTCCTGAAATCATCATTGCACTAGATGCTAACTAACTTGGATGTAAGTTTAAAAAAAAAGATGGTCAATCTTAAGTCATGTGTTCTTTTATGCCCTAACGCCCACAACACACACACACACACACACACACACACA